CATCAGCCCTCCCCTTTTTCAAGAAGAAGGTAATTGGAAGGGAAGACTTGTGCTTTGCTGGCTGAGGTTTCACTGGTTTTTACAAGCAGATGAAAACGGAGGTTTTTAACAGAAATGTCATCATACCGTAAGAGGGAGCAGTGCCCTGCAAAGGAGTCCCCACAAACTGGCAGGGATGCAGCCCTGGTTTCATCCTATCTGTCTCCCCCCTCCACCCAGTGGTCCACCTCCTGTCACACCCTCCCTGCCAGCACCCTATGGAACTTTGCAGCAGCAGCAGCAGCATTTCACCAAATACATTATCTCAGAGGGGAAAATGAGGTAATGACCCCAAAACCCCCGGTTCAAAACATCCCAGCGTAATCACTTCCCAGGCATTCTGCCACCTGGCACCTTTTTCTGTGGCACCTCACACCCTGCTTGGCACAACACTAACCCATCAGAGATGAGCATGCAAGGAAAGACAAGAGAAATTCCAATCAAAAAGCATCAAATCCCACTGTATTCTCCAGAAACAAAATTCCTGCAGAAAAACACGTCACATTCACCCTGCCTATATCCTCTCTCCAATATTTTGTTGGCTTTGCAGCCTCCTGGACTCATGCCTAAACCCCTTATGGAGACTAAGGGGCTGACGGGTGTCACCGAAACATTTTCCAAGTTAAACTGTTTAAAGTTACCAGAATTTGGAGACCATAAGAAAAATTTCCTGTTAGAAATGAAAAACTAATGTAAAAACATCCTCTCTGCTCTACAAACTAAATCCTCTCTCTGGTAGCTATTTGAAAATAGCCTTTCTCACCTCAGTCCACATGCCTTTTCAAATGATCTGGATAAAAATTGGTCATTTCAGTACCCCCAAAAAGATATATGTAAAGTACAAATGAATGACTGGCCTTAAAACATTCCTTTGCTGTTTCCCTCCCGCTCTCCCCCCGGTGCAAAACACACATTTCGTTTTTCATGTCAAGCTGAAGTTTGAATAAGCAGGCAGACAGCTAAAACTTTTAATACACAAACAATTATCTGCATAAACCAAAGAATTTTAAGAACCCTTTTCCCCTCAGTCAAACAGCTGAATATTTTTACCAAGCTGGAGGACACCTATGCGAAACTCTGCAGTTCATCACATCAACGCACCTGCTGAGGACAATATTGCAAGACCTGAGTTGGTGACTCTTTTCCAGCACTGGTCCAATGAAACTGGCTGCTGTTTTCGGCGACGGTTAAAAATGTGCAACAGTTGATGTTATCTGCATGGAGCAGGTAACCTTTTACATTTTGTATTCAGTCAGCAGTCACATGAATGATGAGGCAGGGACCAAAGCCTTTCTGAATGGTCTGGTTTGCAGTGCCAGCAGCAGGACATGTGATAGGAAAAAATCCTTGCTCAGTATTTTTCTCATGTCAGGAGAGCAGGAGAGGAAAACTGAGGCGTTGCACCATTAGTTGCCCCAAGGGCTAGCCCAGTCTTCCCAAATTTAGGGTGATATAAGGGAAGGTTAATGAAAGATGCATGGGAGGGTTTTGTAGTACTCTGAGTGATAAAGAAAAAAAATACTCTTGTGATTAGGGCTTATTAGCATCATTAAGACTTGACTCCTACTCCCATCTGTGCCACAACCTTCTTGTGTGTGAAGTCACCTGCTCTCCTCGCAGCCTGAACATGCACAAAGCCTGATCCCACAACAGCAGAGCTCCAGACTGTTGCCCGTAGCACACATGGGGAAGGACTTTTACCAGGGAGCCTCAGCAATTGCCATGGATGCTGCAGAATGGCAGTGTCTTGCTTGTCTTTCCATAAGTTGGTCACTTGAGGAGGTGACACATCTCAAAGGCTTTGTGGATGGTGTTGATGAGTGGTGCAACCCTGCAGTAGCAGGTGCATGTATTTGCTAGGCAGCCAACTATTCTGTTAATTGCTTCCACAACATAAAGAGTCTGGCCCTGCCACGCACTTCGTTTGTTTCTAATGTTGCTGCTTTGCAAAGCAGAAGTTTCTGGTGAAGTTGGCCAAAGGCAGCCACGCATCCCTGTACCACTGGCTGACACCCCACTGCACTGTCTCCTTCTGGGGTGGCTTCCTCTTTCCCACCGCTCTGGTCTCCTCTGATGCAACTCTTATGGCTTTTTTTTTTAGAGTCCTTAGTTTTTATCAACATAGAGTAGCTGGGAGAGCGCATCAATCAGGGCATTAGCACAACGCATAATGTGGTATTTAAGTAACTGTAATTGTCTTCTGTTACCCACAGGCATGTGCTCAGATAATAGCTCAGAATTTGTTCCCGTGGCTTTGCAAACATTTAGTCAATCCATTGCTCCCTTTTTTCCACCCCCCACAGTTCCCCAAAATATACTTATGTTGTTTATTCCCCTTGAGGGTCCATACCATCTTTCAGTAGTCTAGAAACTTGAGTTTGCCTATTATTCCATTGTCCCCATCTCTTACAGCTTTTATGCACCTAGACAGTCATCCTCCCTCTTGGAGATGACAACAGGTATGGTTAGAGTTAATGAAGACACAGGTATTAAAAACCCCAGGTAGATACAGGTATAGCTACTCACCCCAGCGATGCCCCACTCGACAGTGTTGTTCAAAAGTGAAGCCAAGGCTTATCTTTTCGTGGTTTCACCCTTTTGTAGGAAGGGCCCGGTCCCTCCCCTGTGCTTGAGATGGGAAGAACAGGAGCTCCCCAGGCAATCAGTGCCGCCTGCTTTTATTTCAGCAGAGCTATTTTGCCAGCAAAGGATTACATGAGCTTTCTCCAGCTTGGTTGGGAATAACTACGTTTCACCTATGACTATAGATTTTGGTCATGAGGGTGAAGAAATCCTTCAGGGCATAGCAGCTGCTCCTCCTGATACAGCCTTTCCTGTCACTGGGTTCTTGCTCAACCGTAATTGAAATCAGTGCTGGTCTTTGATCAAAGAGGTGAGCGCCATTAATAAGCAAGGGATTAAACAAAAGTGAGAAAGCCTTCCTAATTGAGGGAACCGGCAACCGTTCAGTTTGCCAGATCCAGTGCTCTGTCATGGGACTCAAGTCAAAATACGCCAGCAGCACCAGTTTGGGCTCCTTGGGGCTGGGGTGCGGAAAGCAGCTGCAGCCTCTGCACTGGAGGCTGTGTTGAGACGCGCTCCCAGGGCATTTCGGCAACATTAAAAATACAACTCTCCTGGCAGAGTTGGCTCTTCCTGCTCATGCGAAGCATAGGAAACCAGCACAGCAAAGCCCAGCAGGTGATTTCACAGAAGGAGGAGGTGGCATTCATTTGTAAAGTGTCTGCAGCAGCTTATTTTACCTGCCTCTGCTCCCACGCACAGAGACGTGTCATTCAGACGTTTGCCCAGTGCCATCCACTCATATACAGCATGGAGGATGAGGGGCTCCAGCAGCCACATCCTCCCTTGTGTCTCATGGGTGCATCCTGGCCAGCTGTGATAAAGTAATCTTTGATCAAATCTTTCATGCCTGTACAAGCTATTGCTCTACTTTTCTAGTGCCGCAACAGCAACAAAAAAACAGATTGGCATTTTTTTTTGTGTTGTGCTGGCAATCAGCCTACTGCCACTGCGATGGTGTGAGGGTGAGCACAGGTACAAAATCTCAAAAGCGACAGCAGAGGGAGCTTATCTGTGTTTATGCCCACTTATTTTCTGCTGCATCTTCGGATCTCCATTAGCCATCAACCACAGCAGCCCTTCAGCATGGTTCCTGAGCTGCAGTGATCTCAGTTATCTCAGCACTTCAGTGAGATCAGAGCCCTAAAATTGCCACATTCATAATCACCCTCCACTCAAACTTTCTCAATAATTTGCTTTGAAATTGCCTTGTAGCGCAAAGTAAATGAAGGATGGTGGACACTCAAAAGAACAAGCCCCAGCTTCCTGCACTGTCTCACTCATCTGCTCTGAACTGGGGCTGCTTAAATCTCCTTTTTTTCCCAGCTGCTGAGACATACCCCTGCCTAGTTTCAAGAGGGGAAACAGGGATGTGCACAGTCACCTCTGAACCCTCAGTTCAAAGTAGCACGGAGGCCTCAGTGCGATCCAGGGGCCAGGCAGCTGAGTCACCCACTGCACACTCGAGGACACAGCTAGCAAGCCCATCCATCAGAACCTAACTCCAACTCCAAGGCCTGCAGAGATGCACTGCCAAACCATGGTATGCTGATTCTTGGAGCTCCCTGGAGGGAGAACGCACAGCCACTGGCCCTCTTGGTAGTCAGTTGCTGGGTTACCCTCTCATAGTAGGATGGGCACAGAGCAAAAATACAGGTTAATTTTTATTTCACAGCTGTTGTTACAGCACACATAGGCCTGAAGTTACCAGCAAAAGAGCAATCCAGTAAACAAGTTTTTCATTTACAACACGTGCTGTGAATAACTTGTAATAAAACTCACTTTTCCTCCACATTTGTAAAAACATTTGGGCATATGGGCCCACCTTTCTTCTCTGTGTGCTCTGGGGGAGTTTGGTTCAGGAGGCATATGCAGATTTATGCACAAATGGTCAAGAATGCCTAACGTTTTCCTCTCATCATGGATCTCTCCAGAACGGGCTGAGATCTTTAAAGGATGAACAAAGATACGGTTCTTGACCCCAAGCCTGGGTTTATATTTAACAAAACGAGCAGCATAGTGACATGAACTGGGAAGAGATGGTGATCAGTTCCAGATAGTTAATTTAAGCATAGCCACAGCTGAGGGCTCTAAGAAGAAAGCTGCAGATGCGCAGTGATGGGTATTAATGTTTCAGTTGTTGAGAATACCATGGGAAAAATGAAGTTACATTTAAAGCAGTGCTAAGACCACCAAAGGGTATTCTATGAGTAACTTCAAAAATATGTAAAAGAGACAGTACAAGTAGTTTAATCAAGAAATCAATATAGCATAAGTTGCAAATGAGAAGGAAGAATGAACAATTAAAAGATATTAAAATATTTTTAATCATAAAATAAAATTACAATAGTAGCTTATTAGGACGAGAATCTTTCTTGCACAACAGCAAAAAGTACTGTCACATACTTAAAGTAAATTTAAAGCGAGAAAAAAGATCATTTTTAAAATATTCCACGTATTCCAGTAGTTTTTCATGCTTTCTTAATGAAATATTATAATGGTGTTATGGTTTCAAAGCAAAAGATGCTGAACACCACAATAAAATCCTTCAGACTTGTCCTGCTTACATCAGTCTTCTCCAATACATTCTGAAGAGTGTGTATTTAACCTGCAAATGGATATGGTGGGACTCCTTTCACCCCCAGTCCTGTTATCTATTAAAACAGAGAGAAAAAAAATATTAGAAAAATAATCCACCATTATCAGACACTCACTTTCCTTGCACAACTGGACATGCTTTGATTTGAACAGGACTGTGTACTCCAATTTGCCCTCTTACTTTATTTTGCACACATCAGCTCATCACAGCCAGGAATTTCAACACATGCTCTTTCTCTAAAGCTCAGTAATCTCAGGTCAGAGTCCATCCCCCAAAGGCCTCTTCTCTTAGATACTACTAAGCCTTAATTCTGCAGTTCACAATGTAACCTTCAGCATGCAGACACAGAGAAGAGCAGGCCTTTAAAACAAATCCCGAGGTAACAAATTTTTAAAGAGGCAATTTAGTTATAATTAACTAGAATGTAAATAAAAGAAGATCTGTCATTGATTAAGACACATGAGTATTTACCCATTCTTTCCACAACAAATAGAAAATGCAAACAGTGCTGGGAGAGTGATAAAGAGGTGATGGCACAGAAAATTTTACACTATCAGCATTGTTACAGAGTTTAAACCCCAAAGTATTTTCAAATCTTTAAATGCATTTAACTTTGTCATACTGCAACAGGAACTAAAAATACAAACAATAGCTTAATGTACATGACCAATAATCTAACAACCACCCTTTTCTTGCTTCCTACCACTCCAAGTGGCTTGCTGCCTGAAAAATGCAGGAGCAAAAAAATTACATTCTAAGATTACAGAAAAAAGCATCATTCACCTTGAAAATCCCACCAGCCTGTGGTTGCCGTGAAAGCTGCTCTTTATCCATCCCATCACTGGCAGTAGTCACATACATTTCTGAATAATCCCTTCCTCCAAAACAGCAGGAAGTTGTTTTGTCAACTGGAAGTTTCACAGTCTGGAGTCTTTTCCCTGGAGGAAAACATGCATGATGTTTCCCGTTTGTCTACTTACAACAAGAAATTCAAACAAATTATTGTGAATAACCATTGTGGAGCCAAGTATTCCGCAGAAGGGGTAACCAGGGCCAGGGGAGGTCCCACGCTGACTTTCAGCATACCGATGGAGCACCAGGACAGGGAGAAACCAGATTTCTGTGACAAAGTTGTTATGATGTATCAGTTGACAAGTTTCAGTTATCACAAACAAATCCCACCCCAATCCCAGCTTGTCCTCTGGTTAAACGCAAACATCCATGGCAGAGACCCGTATCTGAGCTCATCACCTAGACTGCCCATGGAGTCAATGGAAATGCGATAAAATTCCTTTCTAAAACAGGTCACATGAATCACACCCTAGACCTGCTGACTTTTCTGCTTTTAACTACAAAGGCAGCCTGGAGGGAGCAGACCTCGTGCAGCACTGCGGAGGCGTACCTCCTGCTACACCTCTAGTGCCTGAAGTTAAGGAAGATTAATTCCTAGAAGTTTCTCCTGAAATTTCAATAGCCTTTCAAATCAAGCTTGCATAAAGTAGAGATCATGGGACACGTCTGAAGTTTACAAGAAACTAGTCCTACCATAACTAATATTACTCATTTATTACACCAACAGCTACTGTCTTAATTACAGTAGTAGTGAACAGATTGCCTCCAGCCCTAACCAGAAGGCTATCAAGACATCTTACAACAGATTATTCTAAAATTCCTGCTAATATTGGAGTGCTTATTCCCATCAAGTTTATTTTATTTACCTACCATTGAATTTCTCTTTCTAGAAATACGCTAGAGCACATGAATCTCCTTACAAAACATGTAATTTCTCTACTCCCCCAACTGCATATATAAAGGGCTTGGTCCCCTTACAGTAACTAACTTTACTGATGTGTTGAAATTGTAACTTTGCTGTTGGGAACCCTAGAAATTGGTTGACCCCTGTTCTGGGAAAAAATGGGTGGGAAGCGCATTCAAAAGGAAAGAAAACATGAACAGTGGGAGAAGAGGCATGAGCCCCAAAGACAAGGGGAGAGACCCTGATGTGTCTCAACAGATAACAGCCTGGAAGATATAATTTACAAAGCTCTGAGATAGCAATGTCTCCATGGAGATTCAAGAAAATCTGCACCTGGATGCTCTGCAATCTACCTGAAGTGTTCCTCTGTGCTTAGTATCTATGGAAGAGAGAAACTTAGCAAACCTTTTGGACACTGAAATTCAAAGGATATTAAAAACATTCGCTAGAAAGAACTATAAAATATTTGGTTTAAATTGGATATTAGGAAAAATTTCTTCACTGAAAGGGTTGTCAAGCATTGGAACAGGCTGCCCAGAAAAGTGGTGGAATCATCACAGAGTCACAGGAGTATTCCTAATTGGAAGGAACCCACAGGAATCATCAAATCCAACTCTTAAATGAATGGCCTCTGCGGGGATCAAACCTGTGACCACGGAATTATTTAGCAGCATGCTCTAACCAAGTTAATCTCATGTTCCCTGAAATGTTCAAAAAATGTAGATGTGCTGCTTAGAGACATGGTTTAGTGGCGGACTTGGCAGTGCTGGGTCAATAGTTGGACTCAGTGACTTAGAGATCTTTTCCAACCATAATGATTCCAGGATTCTAATCAAAAGACACAACTGCATAAGAATAGTAGGTCACCAGAAGGTATGACAAGGCTTGCCACATACAAGTTAGACATCCCTTTTGAGCCCTTTGCAAACTTTGTGGGATCAGCCACTACAGTCTGTAGCATATCCTGGATCTAAAGGCAGCAGCCACTTTGCTAAAGAATCCTAGATCCAAAAAGCTGCTTCACCCTGAACCTCAAAACCTCCACTTAGGTGAAGATGCCAAACAAACAAGTTTCCTCACTCCGTCCCCACAAAAATCACCCCCAAGGCTTTATCATCTCTAAAACTTGAAAATCCCTCATGTATTTTAGATGAGCTCTTCGTCACTGGATGTATTTGCAACTGGCTGTCAGCCATTCAAGCCACACTTAATAGCTCTTTTGCATTCAAAGAGTGGCTTTCATGGAATTTTCTACATACCTGTCTTGGGTATCTCCCTAAATAATTACAAGTCACTCAAAATTCAGCAAATAGCAGATTTTTAGATATCACTTTAAAACGATAGCATGAGAGGGCAGGTAAGCATGAGATATCCACAAAGAAGGTGGCTCTTTTTGGAACGGACACCGAACCTGGGAAACTTTGCACTCCTATTACCTGCTATGAGTTTCACATGGGTGAGGGGAGACTGACAGGTTCCCAGAAGACAAATCCACTGGTAGCTATTAACACGTCAGTATGTCATCCAGCTGTGAGCACAGTTAGAGACTGGGAGTGAGTGCACTAGGGGTATGTACTCTGCTGTCAATATTCTTAGTATCCCTATGCATTTGCTTACTGCCGCTATTCCCTTTAGCTTTCCCATGACAAAATACCTCCAAAGGGGAGAAGAAAAACAAGTGAAAAAAGGAAGAAGGTGAAGGCCAGCAAGGAAGAAGATAGAAACAATGAACCAGAGAGGAAAGACGATAGAGTCTGCTGCTTCAGGAGGGTGTTCAGAGGGCTGGTGGATGTCACCAAGGAGTGCTCTGCCCACCTAAAGGGAAGGATGTGGGACCAGAAACAAGTCCCAGAGCTGCTGGTAACTCCCAGCTGGAGCTTCCTTTTCCTAGAGGTGGGGTGCAGACTCTGCAGAACAGAAGTCAAGCAGGTTGGCAGGACCTTGGATGGGTAGAGATCTAAAGGTGAGGGGGAAAGCACAGCCTGAGACTCAAGTAAGAGCTTCCAGTAGAGTCAGAAGTGAGGCTGCAGCCTGGCCTGCCTGGTGCACATGTGTCAGTGCCTCTGTACACTGCAGAGGCAGGATGCATCAAGGATGAATCTGAAGCCCCGCAAAACCCCAAGCCTTCTACTAGACTCCAGCACAGCACAGCTGCTCCTCTGCTGCATTAAGCAAACTTGTGTTTTCTGGGATCTGTCAAAATCACTCTCCAATTCTCATCCATTGGCCCCTCGCAGGCAGTGGGGTTCACTTTCCCTTAAATGCTTTACATATGTTTTTTACCCACAGTAGATCAACCCTGACACACCACTAAAATCCAAATGAGAGTAGGAATGAACAACAGGCTCAGACAATGGGCACACTCAAGATGTTACTGTGTGAATGACAAAATGCTGTGGAAATAATTAAATATTTTTAATTACTTCAATTGAAAAAAATGATCATGTAAATAATTTTCAACAATAAAAAAAGATATTGTTAGCATCAGTGTCATGTAGGAATTGTATTAAACTCAGTAGGGCTGTCCAAAATAATACAATATGCTGAAGAAACAAGGCTCAAAAATGGCTTTAGTCATCTTTGATATTTCATGGCTTACTCATTTACATCATTTATCAATGAGGTAAACACTGGTGTTAAGTTTGGAGGATGTAAGAGAATGCTAACTCAAACAACTCACAAGTATTATGATGATCTCCTTAGCAACTTTACCTTTTCCAAGACAACACATGCTGGGAACAAAGGAGACTTATTTACAAAGGTAATTTTGGAGAGCAGGGGCATGAAATTGTTTAAAATAATAACAAAAAAAAAAAAAAAGTGGTGTTTTTAAAAAGAGCAGATATATCATTTCTGGGGGAGGGGGGGACACCCCCTCATTCTTTGCTTTTATTTCCTCGTTTTCTTTTTTCATTTAAACTCAAAATCCCATTCCACCCTTTGCAAGGGCTTACCTGTCTCAGGGTCAAGACGAATCACTCTCCCACCATCATAACAAGCTACCCAGAGTTTGCCTTCTGTATCAATGCACATCCCATCAGGAATGCTCTCCTCTTTTTCCAGTTTGTATATGCTCCTACGGTTGCCTGCAGGGTAGGAAAAAACCCACACAACTGAACGAAACGGTTGTTAAAATTTTTATCAGTCACAGCCTAGCAAGTCATTTGTACTATTATTTTCCAAAGCTGTGCTGAAGCCCTGAGTTTTTTTCCTTATGAAAGAAATAGATTGTGTCTGCTGCTCTGTTTGTTTCTTGAGATAGTTGTTTCTCAGCACGAAAGCCTGTGGATCAGTTTCTATCCACTGAAAGTATAATCCTTTTTTCTGGCATTATTTTCTAGTGCACCACTCATGTTCCCTACTTACAATATTAAATGAATAACTGAATAAATTAATGTTACATATGTTAATAAAATTAATTACTTGTTCTAAAAGCAGTTTGGAGCATTTCAAGTACGAGTTGCTCCAACTGGAGACTTTTCAAACAGATAGCTGCAACATGCCAATAATCACTATTCCAACGCAAAACTGACCTTCAGATCTATAAACTCAAGAGTTTATATAAACACAGAGTTAGGAAATGCATCAATTTCAAAGGCACATTATCAACCTAAAACCAAACAGATCTATCTGAACTTTTATTCACTGTTATTAAAGAAAATTAAACTCAAGTTTCCAACATTGTTTATTTTGTGCTCTGACAACTTCAATGTTTCTCATAAGCAGCAATATTTTTAATGAACTTCCTTTTTGCTCCTGGGGATTGTCAGATTGCCAAAGAAGAGTGAAAGAGAGAGAGAGAGAGGAAAAGCACCCTAAAGAAAAGTTCAGTTGTAAGCCACAGCAGGGGAGACACTGGGACAAGATGCTATGCCCAAAATGACCTTAAATTCAGTTTTTAAATTCAACATCAAATTGGCCCAATTCTTTTAAAGTAAAATACTGCAGTCCATGTACTCAAAAGCAAATTATTAGTCCAAGTCACTGGAATTTTTCTTCTGCCCAAGCTTGCAGAAGCCCTTAAGGCGTTGTTTTGTTTTGAATAAATGAAGGAAGTTTTGAGTTACTGCTTTCCCATTGTTGCCTAGTTCTTTCTGCAGAATCTTCATTTAAAAGCTTACATTTTAAAAAACAAGACAGTGAAAAGTGAAAAAATATCTAGAGAAGCTGGCAGACGTTTTCTACAAGACTACAAGATCACCTATGCTCTCAGTAGCAAGAAACATACAGCCACAGAAACCCAGACAAATGAGAAACACTTTGCCCTTTTTACACTGGAAGATCAGATATGCCTCGTGTTTCGTAACAGAGGGAGAGATCACTAATCACTACTCAAACTGCCATGCAATTTAAATACTTTATAGTGCTACCAACAGACCCTGACTGGTTTGAGCCAGGAGCCTACTCAGGTGCAGATGGATGTTAATATGACTTCTGCTATTTTGCTCTGAAGAGGTTACTGAAGAAGCACTCCCAAAGCTCTGATCATCTCTCTATAATAACCAGAAGAGGAACAAACATCACAATCCTTAGGCACAACCAATTCTTTTAGAATACAGCCATTCATACCAATTTTTCCAGTTTGGAGATCATAATCAAAGGCATCCACCGAATAGGACAAGCTGTCGATGTAAAAGAAGGTTTTGTGATCTAGTGACCAGTCCAGCCCATTGGAAATGTCCACCTGGTCAAAGTGCTTCACCACGGAGAGGTCAGAGAAAAGTGTATACAGAGAACCCTGGTGTCTTTCCAGCACAGCAGGACGAATCTCTTCAGCCATTGTACCTGTGCAGAGCCAAAGGGGAGAAAGCAGGTTCAGAGTGAATGGACTCTCCCCTGGGTTTGGTGGCAGCCCCTTGCAGTGATGATAATCACAGTGTAGAAAGGAGCAGCGCAGGGGGCTTCTGAAATTTGAGGAAGAAACTGAGTTAAAAGCAAAGGAAAGGTAGATTTCCAAAGTGCTTGCTTTTAGCAAAAGATGACAGAACATAGTCTTTGGGTTTTTGTTGAATTGTGGCAGAAATAGCGTACAGCATGATTCCCGCAAAATGTTTTATTCAGTCATTTATATATTAAGAAAGGTGGGGCCAGCATTTAACTTCCCACAAATCTTAATGTCTCGTAGAGCTGAGAAAATGGAAAAAAATTACCTCCTCCCTCAATGAGTCTTGCATTAAAGCCTCTTCAAAAGCAAACCCCATCTTTGCAACTTGAAGTTGGCAGCTGAGACTCGCTCCTGAGAGGCTGGGTAAATGCAAGCTAAGGTAAGCTTGGGGACTCAACTGTACAGCAGATGCACAGAACAGTGTTTAAAAAAAACAGGAGGACAGGATCACAGCTGATCATAGAGGCAGGAGGGCTCCTCTGGAGATTATCCAGGATCACCCCCTGCTCAGAGAAGGGTCAGACACCACAGGTTCCTCATGCCAGCGTTGGATCTTGAAGAGCTCCATGGATGAAGACCCCACAGCCCCCCTGGACAACCTGTTCTACTCTTTGATCATCCTCAGTAAAAGAGTTTTCTTACATTCATACAGAATTTGCTGAATTTCAGTTTGGGCCCACCCCCTCTGGTTCCATCAGTGGCACCACTGAGCAGAGCCTGGCTCCATCTTTTTTACTCCCTTGCCACCCTCCAAATCAGGTACTTACACACAGGTAAGATCCCCCTGAGCCTTCTCTTCTCCAGGATAAACAGTCACATAGTTTTTAGAAATACAATCTATAAATTCTGATTTATGAAGAACAAAGCACACAATATAATAACTAATTCACTGAAAAAGTATTTTCTGTTGGCACCCTGACAGTATTGAAAACAAGCAGCCAACAGGGAGAAGGCAAAGCTAGTGTCTTAAACTAGGCAGACTCCAAATAGTGTGTCTCTCTTTAAAAAAACAGTCCTGATTAGATGGTGGCCAGGTGATACAAATAGATTTGTAAGTGGGATTACACACAAAAAAATCCCCACCACTTAAGTATGAAGGAAAACTTTCTGCATCTGCAACTGATCACTGCATCTTATCACCAAAACCTAACAAGCACTAGAGGGAAGGAACTGCCTCTGCAGCATACCTGCGAAATACCTCCCTGCAGGATCCACCTTCCCATCATTGAATCGGTTATTCGGTTTATCCTTGTCCACTTGAGTAAGGGTGGTTACCTGCTCCTCTTTCCACTTCAAAGCAGCAAACTTAGTTCCCAGGGTGATGACATAATCTCCAGATTTCCGAAGAGCCACGGAGCTCACAGGAGCATCTAGAAACAGGGTGAAGTGGAAAAGAGGGATGTGCTAAGGAGAGACATTTCTGCCCACTTTAGACATGCAAACTGAACTCAGTGAAACCACAGGCAAGAGAAACAACCTACTTTTCTAACAAACATATTGGAGTCCGAATACATAGAAACTGATCAGGTCGTGTGAAGATGGCATACTTAATGCATACAGCAAATTGCTATGAAGGGAATCACAATTTATTAAGACATAAACTCAGGGAACTTAAAGTGTTACCACTGCTCCCAGGAGCTATAATCATTACCAGCACCTGGTTCAGCCAGGTGCTTAAAAAAAAAAAAAAAAAAAAAAAAAAAAAAAAAAAAAAAAAAAAAAAAAAAAAAAAAAAAAAAAAAAAAAAAAAAAGCAACCCAGGGATTAAAAGGGGAACAGGGATTTTTACAACAGGTGGGTTCTGCCCCACACACAAAGGAAAAATCAATTGCCATCAGAGCTCTGGAGCAACTGTGTTTGTTTAGCACAGCTCCTGCATAAATCACTCCTACATTGATGAAGGCAAGAGTATCTCTGCACTGGGACAGGCCACACTGGGCAGAAGAGCCACCCCCATGCACCACACTCTGCTGTGCAGTTCAAACATGCTTCCAGCAGCACCAAAAACACACCAAAGAGGGGCAGAGCTTCCTAAGAGTTAAAGGGAAACAGAAAAGTCATATATACTCCATGGTTAATTTACACTCTCTTGAGTTATTATGCATAAAACCTCAATTGCAGGTTCTTATAAAGGAATTAGTAAAAAAAACCAATGAGTGTGAAGATAGCATTTCTGTAAAAGCCTGCAATCAGATGCAATATAAGGAATAATAACTTTAGGTAGGGCAATAAAGTCTGACATAATATTTTATATACATAGGACTAATCACCAACTTACTAATTTAAAAAAAAAACATTTCTTGTATTTATAGCTTTGCAAGGGTATAATTAGATAACAGTTTCACAAATACTTACTTATAACTACCACCAGCCACCACTGTTGTGAAGAGGAACTGGTACTTTCTGGCTGTTTGCTCATGGCTCAGGATGCTCCTTCCCTTGGCAGCCCTGGCAGTGGTACCGCTCTGCCAGAAATCTGAATGCTATTTGCTGCCAACACCTGATGGCAAGCTCAACTCCAGCAGCTCCATCTCCCAGAGGTGTGCGACCCCACTGCTGAGGCTGCTGGTGGTCTGGGTTCATTTACACTGGGTGAGTGGGCGCCACTTCTTCCTGTGCCAGCACAGGAGTCAGCAGAGCCCCCTCAGCCATGTGTGGCACCTGCCACACGCAGTAATTTTGCTGCTCTTTGGATTGCCAGTAACCACACCAGTAAAAATGCTTTTCTGCCTGTACCAGCAGCAGGGCCTTTGCTAGCAGAACATGGGAAGACAACTCTCTATTTGCTTTCCCAGGAAAACACCTGGGGCCATGGCTCACATAAGCCCTTTTACCTGGGCAGCCTCCAGGGCCTTCCTCCTACCCAGGGTGTAGCAGCCCCCAAGCACAGCAGATCACACACCCTTGACTGGCTGTTCCTGGAGGTGTCGGCTCCCCAGATGCCCCTACACAAGAACAATCCCAGATCTTCCTGACAAAGCACCGCAGAGGAAAGGGGTGTATCAGGACACAGACGCCCTACTGTTCACTGCACAAATACAGCGCAAGCAAGCATCTCGGCCCTTGCTGCCAGCTCAGTCCACTGTGACACTGCAGGGCTTTGTTAAAGCAGCATCTGCAGGAACTGATTTACTTGTAGCACCGTTTTATGCAGAAAAGAAAACTGACCATAGGGTCTCCCCTCCAGGCACAGTTATGTGTGTCTTCCCTGTGGAGTTAAAAAGAGCATTTGACATTGTTGCTAAGTATGTGGTTGTTGTAATTCTCTGCACACTTTAGTAATGAGTAATTTTTCTCTTTGTTTCCACTTTGGAAACCCACTACTTGAGTATGACATTCTTTGGCTGTTTGGTGGGGGGTATAAAAGCACAGCTATTAATGATAATGATAACTATTTTACTACTAAAGAGAGGAAACAATTAAAAGTTTTTAAAAAGGAGCTACTTCAGCCTCTATCCTTTCCACATCTCCAGAGAGGCCATATGTAAAAGACTACACTTTTGAGAGTAGTTCAAGTTGGGGGGAAAGGCAGGGAGAAGCACACTCTCTCAGCTAAGCTAAGAGGAAATAAGTTTGGGAAGAAACATTTCCCAAATTGATATCAGGCCTTCTCTCACCTTAAAACTGCTAACTACGGTAATTTGAAAGGCAGAGAAGCCCAGATCAATTTCTTGTGAATAATGAGAGCAGCTTATGGGTAGGCAAAATTGATTTTCACCAAGTGTTACTGAACATGAGAAAAAATTGTACTGAAACCACTTAAGGAGCTGTCGTCGGCCAGACAAATATTTACATTACCACTTCCAGCAGTAAACCTGCAACTCTTTCTTTATGAGAGTTAGCATATGTCTTCCTCTCTGGAATAAATACTTAGACTACTGAGATTCTGGCTGGTGATACTGTTACCTTAAAAAATATCATCTTCTTAATTCACTATTTGGAAATCTTTTACAATACAGAAAGTGTTACGAGCATTGCTCATTCAAGTCAGAACAAAACTACCATAGAAACCAACAGCAGAACTTTACGTCTGGGACAAAGTGGAACAAAAGAGGACTTTTGTCCAACTTGCTAGCTGTGGACAACTTACAGGAAAAAGATGTAGATCAAACATAACCCAGTAGCACAAACCCATAAAGAAAGTCCCTAGGACTAAGTCTGGCCTTTATCTAGTGTCTGTGCAAAGGCCCAGTGTCCTCTTGGCCTAGGAAAGTGAGGTTGTAGGGAAAGGTCTCCAAAAGATGAGCACTGTGCAGCTGCCGAGGGACACGGCGCCAGGTCGGAACACACAAGTCCCGCACGCAGCAGAGGGTTTTCCAGCGGCTCCTTACCCAGGGGGATGGCCTGAGTTTGCCTGGTGACCGGGCTCCAGCGGTACACCTTCCTACCCGAGATGTCCACGTACAGGAGCGCGCCTTCCTTCTCGTCCCACACGGGCGACTCCCCGATCCCGCAGCCCTCGTTGGACACGCACTCGATCCTGACGGACGACATGCCTGCGGGAGGGAAGGTCACCGACCCTCAACGCGAGTTCCACACCCCCTCCCCCGCAGCGGCCTGCTGGGAGGAAAGAAAAAAAAAAAAAGAAAAAAAAGAAGCGGGGGAGTAATAAAAGGGAGGCAAAACTTAAATCGGGGGTGCGGGAGGGAAAGGCCAAGGCCGCTCCACCGGCGGGCCCGCCCCTGCACGCCCGGCTGCCCGGGCAGAGCGCCTGGCGCGGCGGCATCGCTGCCGAGGGTGCCACCGTGCAGTGCACACATACGCGTGTGTGTCCACCTATACGTCTGCCTATGGATACGGGAGAGAAGCGTACCAACCGTAATTAAGCATAATTAACAACAACAACAACAAACAATCACAAAACGCGCGGCCACCCGCACGCCGCCGGCCCTACCTGCTCCCAGCCGCGCAGGAGAGGTCCCGCCGCCACCGCCGCTCTTATAGCGGCGAGGGCAGAAGGGCGGCGGCAGAGCCTTGGGTACCCTCGTCTGGGCGGGCCCCTCCGCCCGGGCCGGGCTGTCCTGCCCGGCGGGGAGGGCGAAGGCCGGGCAGTTCGGGAAGCTCGTCTCCGCTCCGTGCTGGAAAGCCAGCGCGGGGAGCCAGGAGCGGCGGCTGCCCAAGCAGCAGCAGCGGCTCGGCTCCCCCACTGCTCCAAGAGCTGCAGGGAGGAAAAATAGGGAGAAGAGGTTTCTTAATCGCGGTGGAAAAAGTTTCTCGGCTCCCCGAGAGGCTGATTCCCAAAAGGCCTGGATTTTGTCTGCCTTCTTGCTGCGCTTTGGCCTTGGCCCCAACTTCCAGCACCAGGGATCCTTCTCCACAGCTCTTTCAGCATTTTCCTGGTTATCCAAAAATCCTGGGCCTTCTTTGTGCCATTCCCTCTTTTACTCCCTGTGTTGTAAAGCCCCAGCGACTTCCAAGGGCACAAGGCAAACAGCTGGAATCAAAATTTGCAGATGCAGTTCTCTGTTGCCTCTGCTTATCTCCGTGCTATGACCACTCCACCTGCCAGGCCTCAAATCATAAAGCAAAGGGTGCTTTTTAAATTCCAGCTCTCCTCTTCAGCACCCCATGACACACTGCCTTTTGACTTCGATTCGGTCATCACTGCAGGGATCAGTGATGTCAAGTGACTTCAGTCTCACTGCTCCGTGTCTTGTGTGTCTCCTCCTGGCAACCCGGGGTGCACCAGGCAGGCACAGGCTGGCTCACCACTGTCCCCGCAAACGAGAATTGACTTGGCTGCTCCAAAAGTCGCTTCTCCCCCCTCCAGATTCTTGTATCGAGCTGGCACGTGTAGCAGCCCCGTTATTTGAGGGGCACTGCACACGAGCAATCACACAACACCCACCCTGGTCTTCTAGCAGATAAGCTGCCTGAACAACTCCTGTTACAGATTTTACCTGTTCCTTAACATATACCCTCCTCTTGGCAATTACCTCCTATCAAAGATTTTTACTCAGTTGCCTTTATTCATAAAGCAGGTGATCACAGCCCAGGCTTCACTTGGTCACACTTTTTTTCT